TAATACGCCTTAATTTCTCATGATCTTCGCATTTATTTATGCATTGTTATGTACTATGTTTAAATTGTGCATTTATGTATCATACTATTCACTGAGCCCGGCTCACCCTCTGTTATGTCTGTTTCTGTAGGTCACCAAACAGGCGGTCAGTCCTAGCCAAGACGTTGCTTTCTTTTTGTCAACCTCCATATGTCCAGGCACTGTTTAAGTCATTTAATTTCTTAAGTTGTCAAGATGTTGGTTTGCTTATGAGTGTCCATCTAAAGTGGTTGTATATACCTTTCATGTTTGTTTTTGTATACGCCCGACTTTAGGGCTGGAACTGTAAATGCGTATGTACATACTCTGGGATATAGTTGAGACTTTATTTATCCGGTATAATGCATGTGATGAATGAGATCCTGGCATGTAGGAGTAGCTCAATGGAGTTTAATTGTTCATTATTATTTATCTATTTATTTTTGTGCTTCCGATAAGGCCCCGTATGTTAAATTACCAGGTTACATGTCCGTCTCTAAAGAGGTCATGCCCAAACTTTTAGGGGCGGGTTTGGGGTGTGACAGAATCAGTGCAGTCACAAGTCGAGTCTTCAATTCTTGAAAAGCTGATTCTCTGTGGTCCGTCCAGTCAAATGGTACCCCTTTCTGTGTTAGCTGAGTCAACGGCAAAGCAATTTTGGAGAAATTTTTCACAAATCTTCTGTAATACCTGGGTAAACCCAAGAAACTCCGAACTTCAGTAACATTAGTCGATCTAGGCCAATTTACCACTGCTTCAATCTTTTGTGAATCAACTGAAATGCCATCTTTACTAATCACATGCCCCAAAAACATAACACTATCAAGCCAAAATTCACACTTTGTTAGTTTTGCATATAGTTTATGTTCTCTCAAGGTCTGTAAAGCAATTCTCAGATGATGTTCATGTTCCTCCTTACTCTTGGAATAAATCAAGATATCATCAATAAAAACAACCACAAATTCATCGAGGAACGGTTTGAAAATTCTGTTCATAAGGTCCATAAATGGAGCAGATGCATTAGTAACTCCAAAAGGCATAACAAGAAATTCATAATGTCCGTACCTCGTTCAGAAAACAGTCTTTTCAATGTCTTCAGCTTTGACTTTCAATTGGTGGTATCCAGATCTAAGGTCAATTTTGGAAAAGACTTGAGCACCTTGTAGTTGATCAAATAAGTCATCAATGGGAGGCAACGGGTACTTGTTTTTCACTATCACCTTGTTTAGTTCACAGTAGTCAATACAAAGCCTTAATGAACCATCCTTCTTTTTCACAAATAAAATTGGAGCGCCCCACGGTGATGTACTAGGCCTAATAAACTTCTTGTCCAATAGCTCCTACAACCGAATTTTCAATTCTTTCAACTCAGTAGGTGCCATTCTCGGAGCTTTGGAAATTGGCTGTGTACCCGGCAACACCTCAATGGTGAACTCAATCTCCCTGTTAATCAAATCCCCTAGAAAATCATCTGGAAAGACATCTGGGAATTCTCTGACTATTGGAATACTGTCCACATTAGCTTTAACATTAGTAGGCACAATCAATATACAACATAAATACCTTTTACACCCCTTTTTAATCAATTTAAATGCTTTCATAGATGAAATCAAGTATAGGGGAGGTAGAACACCAACTCCGTTAAACACAAATTCAGGCAATCCAGGTGGACGAAAAATAACTTGCTTCGTTACACAACCAATGGAGGCATGATATTTTGTTAACCAATACATTCTCAAAATTACATCAAAATGATCAAGATTCAAAGGTAGCAAATCAACAAATCAAAGTACATCCTCAATAACAATCTCATATGCAGGATACACATAAGCACAATTCATAGATCCCCCGCGTGAATATACAACTAACCAATAGTTCATGGGTTCCAGTGGTCTATTTAATTTTCGTGAAAAAGCATGCAAGACAAACGAATGTGTAGACCCTGAATCAATCAGAATATAAGCACTTTGAGCACAAATTAAAAGTATACTTGACACAACTGTCTCGGTATTTTGCACATCTCCTGGTACAAGTACGAACACTCGGCCTTGCCTCAAAGGTTCTTTCCCGGTGGCTTTGGAATTAGGTTTTGGTGTAACAGTTGATGCTGCAGCACTTGCTACGAGTTTACTGAAATTCTGAGAAGCGAGAGAACAGTCTTTAACTATATGGCCCACCTTGCCACATTTGTAACATGCCCCAGAGATTCTATAACAAACCCCTCTATGTCTTTTGCCGCATTCTGAACAGGGCGGTATAGAGTTATTGCCTTGGCTAGAACTGGTTGTTGACCCTGTGTTTTGCTTTTTGTTGATGAACTGTTCCGGCCCTTTTTAAAGTTAAAACTTTGTCTCTGACCCCGCCATTCGGTCGCCGGTGTCTTAGACTGTTTCAATGCTGCCATATTTGCCTCGGCTATAATGGCTTGGTCAAGGACATCCACATACTTAAGTAATTTCAAGACATTAATTCAGTCCAGGATTTCCACATTAAGTCCACCCTCAAACTTCCTAGCGTTTTTGTAGTCGGTATCCACCATGTGTGGTGCGTACCAGCTGAGCTCGGTGAACTTAGACTCATATTCAGCTATTGACATGGTGCCCTGCTGTAGTTGTTCAAATTCAGTCACCATACGGTCTTGGACACACTGGGAGAAATACTTTTCGTAGAAACCTTCTTTAAACTGTGCCCAAGTTATAGCATTATTTGTATCACGAATAAGCATCCACCATCGTCTAGCCTCTTCTTGTAGGGTAAATGTAGCCAATAACACTTTATGTGCCTCTGCACATGGAAACACTTCAAATAGTTTTTCAGTTTCTAGGACCCATGCGTCGGCCTTCAGTGGCTCAAGACCTCCATGAAATGTCAGTGGCTTCATTTTGTTAAACTTTTGTATCAAGGCAATCACATCATCATTGGCATTTAATTCTGGTTGTACCAGTTGTGGAGAAGGAGGTGGGGGCTGTTGGTTTTGTTGCTGTCTTAAAGTCTCAATCAATAATTCAACCATTCTCTCCAACCTAGCAATTCTTGTTTCGGACGATTCTGGTTCATCTGTATTTTTTGCATTCTCCATTTCACTATAGAAAACATGGTAATAATAAACATAGGAAAGATGGTTTCATATTCATGTATGTCAATTCATATGCACACATCATGTCCGTACATACTTATGTATGCTCATGAAATGACCTATTACTTTTCTAGGACACCCTATAGCTCATTTGGACCCGTGTGTGCAGTATAACTCGTGCTCTGATACCATTCTGTCACGACCCAAACCCGCTGCTATGGGTTGAGCATCGTAACTAGCCAGTAATCCATGATTACCAAAGGTCTGTTTAACAATAATACAATACAAAAGGGCTAGCGGAAACCAATCAATAGTAATATACATCGTCCAATGAGCTGTGAAGATCTGAACGGAAAAACTTTCATGCACGTGGCCATAATCGTATATCACTTAAAAGAAAAGTGCAAATACATAATAGGGACATATTCCCAACATCAAAAAGAAAACTGTACAATTGACAGTCTTAGACGTCCATTACATTAGCAAAGAACAAAAAGGATAAATCTAAATCACCCCAAAAATAGCCTTAACTCGTGCAAGTTCGGGACCTCGATGTGAGGCACAAAGATTGGCTTGACAAAACAAAAGCTTGGGTCGGTGCCTTTAGCTTTGGTCCAGTGCTTGGTCACCTACATATATATATAAACTGTGAGCCATAGCATAGTGAATAACAAATGTGTAAAGAGGTTAAGAATGATGTTGTAGACACCCCATTTTTGACCGACTTTAAGACTCAGATGTCATAGATTGAGCGCTCGGTGATAGTGCATGTTGTGCTCGTTTCGAGTTTCCAGAGTTTTGGCTGAGAGCCTTGCCTCCGGGCCTCTGAACTCTTTGTGCTTTGGCTCGGTTTGTCAACCGAACCTTGTTTTCTCTTCCCTAGAGGGAGGGAGAGGTCTTGTAGACCATCCTTTGTGGTCGTAGACCACTTTTCCTGCTTGGAGATTAGTTTTCGATTTTCAGAGCCTTCGGTCGCGCGCCTTGTATGGGGACCGCTTAACGTTCTCCGTTTGGCTTGGTTTTCGAACCACACCCTGTTGCCTTGGCCTAGAGGGCCACTGTAGTCTGGGAGACCACTTTTGTAATCGTAGACCACTTTTGATGCTCGTAGACTAGTTTTCGAGTCTCCCGGCCGCGCGCCTTGACTCCCGAACTTTCGTCTTGCATCCCTTTTGGTTTTTTTTTTTTGGAACAAACCTTGTTTTCCTTGTTTGGAAAGGGTGGGAGTGGGAGACCAGTTCTTCCCCTTGGAGACCACTTTTCTTCTCTTCTCGCCAGCCAGTTTTCTGGTCGTCCAACTGGTCTCCTTAGTCTTTGGGCCACCTTTTCTGGTCGGCCACCACACCACCACCTTGTTTTCAGAGTGTAGACTTCTCCTGCCCATGGCCGACCAGTTTTGTTCTTGGGAGACCACTTGTGGTGGTCGGCCGACCACTTCAAGTAGCTGGCTGACCACTTCAAGTGGTCGGCAGCTTTTCATCAACTTTTTGGAGATATTTTCATCCAGCTGGCACAGCTAGAAGGCACTGATGCCATCCTCCATACAGGGATGGCTTTGAACCCTGTAGACGCGCCCGCGTGAGGTCTTCGTGCTACAATTCAGACTCGATTTTTGTCACGGTTCTTAATCTGAACCAATGAGTCCAAATCTGGCAAATCGTTTTGAGAAAAACAGATTTTTAGAAAAGAAGTGCCAAACATGGACTGCTTTGCCAGATACAGAGTCTCCACCTAAATATTTTTTTAATGGGGGAATTTAGAAAACCCTGACTCGGTGCCAAAGGCCACGTGTCCGTCATCACCAAAGTTGTCTCGGCTCGGGAACTTGGGTACGATTGGGCAGCTATGAGCACCCCCTCTCGCCCGGTCCGAAGACCGGCCTCTACTAACCATGATATCTGATTTTAAAAATATTATGCGTTCTTATTCCGGTTATTAGCCTAGATTTACTACGTTATGCGCACAGCAAACAAGTATACACAAAATCGCCTAAATTGGAACAAAACATTGCATGTTTGTTTTGAAAATTGTTTGATACTCGCAAGTAGGCTAAAATACAGGTTTTGCCACCCTCAAGTGGGCTTTAGAAAAGATGGTTTTGCCATTATCTAGTGGGCTTAAAACTCACAGTTTTAGTGCAATATTCTAATTTAGGTAATTCAACCTCCATCCACAGGCACTCAAGCAGTTATATCACATAAGCAGCTAGCCTCATGGTAAGCATGCTGTCATATCAACATTCACACTCATGCGAGATGTTAAAACATAAAACACTTGCAGTGTACTCCAAGTCAAAACAATAAACTAGTTAGTAATCATGCGTGATCCTAGTTCATGTTAAAATGGTTAATGCATCGCATACAAAATGTCACTAGAATAGGCTCGGCTAATCTAAGGATGACATGTGAAATGCAACAGATAGTATGTATTCAAGTTTGATTTGAAATACTATGCAGTTAGTATGATGTGCCGAGCCTGATGCATGCAACACTGATGAATGGTGCATGCATGCATAGCATAAGGATGCTAAATTAAATATGCCCTAGACTAACCATCGAAAGCTAGTAAATAAAAGAGAAGAAAGACGTGGGGTTGGGAGACATACACACACTTACGCACACTTATTACACAATTGCCCTCGCTCAGAGGGTCCGAAAGAATAATACAATTAATTAACCTACAAGCTAATTGATTATTATAGACAAATTAAACTAGTTAAGGAAATTAACTAATCTAATAAGACAGTAAAAGCAGCCTCGGGAAGAGGGCCCAATGCATGCGCGCTCGGTTTCGCTCGGAAACCCACCACCATGCACAAGTTGCCTTTGTTTTTTCTGCTCTGCTCCTCTAAAGACTGCCAAACTCCCAGGGTTGATTCTTTGAGTGCTGTGGGACACCACTGGCTGAGGAGGAACACCACCGGCTAAGGGAAATGATCACCGACCACAAATTGATCCATCGGCCAACAATGGACGGCCAGTCGGCACTGTATTTAGTCGACCGGTCAAAACTTCCTACAGAACCTTTTTTTGACAGCAGCAGAGGGAAAAACTTGGCATGACAATTCATTTCAAGCAAATGTATGCACCAACACATCCCTCATCATGTTCATGACTCAAAGGGACATGGTTCTCGATTCTCAGACCATCAATCGCGCATTTCAATGCATGATGGCCTAAGAAACTAAGTTGTGCATTTTCAATGTGGAATTAAATGCACATAAACGAACAATGGGGCTCAACCTCTGGGGACATGGTTCTTGATTCTCGGACCATCAATCGCGCATTTCAATGCGTGATGGCCCAAGAAACTAAGTTGTGCATTTTCAATGTGGAATTAAATGCACATAAACGAACAATGGGGCTCAACCTCTGTCACAATCAATTCAAGAGGTTAAGCATGCAACATGGTCCGGATCTCAAGGCTAACAAGCCAAAATGTAAGGTAGCTATACAAAGCATGCCATGGTCGACCAAAGCAACCCAAAACAAACTTCAAGCATACCAAAACAAGCATGGAAGCTTCACAAAGCTTGGCCAAAAAAATGCTAGAACAAGGGCTCAAAGCATAAGACATGTTAAGGCTAAATGATGGCATTACAAGACATGTATGCAAGGCATGCAAGGTGTGTCCAAACCAACATGAAACAGAGGTAATACATGAAAAAATACTACCAAATAACAGTTAAGGCATGGTCAACATGAACCTAGACTAGGTGCTCACACATGAGGCAAAAATGGACCTTTTCAAGGACAACAAGGAGAGGGGGTGGCCCCCTCCTTCTTAGGACCTCAAGGAACAATCCTCACCACTGAAATCCCTCAAGATTTCAGTGGTGAGGAGGGCCAAACAATGTGGTCCCGGAGCTCACCAAAATGGCACAAAAATAGAGCCTAACAAGGCTTAAGAGGGGTCAAACAACCCCAAAGCTTAAAACACCCTCAACCAACTATTTGAAGCACTAAAAAACAGAACTTTTATATGTTATATGCTAAGCTCAAAAATAGTTGGAAGATAGGTGAAAAAGCTATGCAAAAATGGGGAATAAAAGGGGTAAGTTCTTACCCTTGTTGACCTTCTTCAAGAACATTGCTCCAGCTGGTCCTCAAAGCTCAAAACCAGTCAAGAACACCAAGAACAACCCTCTGGCCCCTCAGCAACCAAGAGAAGGTGTAGAACTAGGTGTTTGTGCACAAAAGTAAGACAAAACACACACAAGGCAAGAGAGAGAGAGAAATATAGAGATAGGATAGAGACACTATGACCTAACCCTAATATCAGAGCTCCTCTGGCTTTTTTTTTGTAACCCTAATGGAGGGAGAACAGCCTCCCTCTTATAGAGATCACTCTTGCAAAGCTTCTCAAGTAAGCTAGTCAAGAGGGAGATCCCTCCATACACGTGTATGGAGGGGAGCAAAGTGGGTGCCAGCTATCACAGCTGGCACAAAAATATCTGAAAAAGCAGATGAACAGTGGTTGACCGGCCAAAAATGCAATTTGACCAAAAAAATGGCCGATCGACTACAAAGAGTGCCAGTTAGCCAAATATTTGGCCGATGGCAACAAATCACAGCCGATGGCCTCAAGCCCCGGCCGGTGGATTGTGGGGATGGCCAGCAAGCCATTCCCTGCCCTCCAAAGCAAAAACACAAGTGTTTGGTGCAAAACCAAACACAAAACAGTCGAGTCGAGAGATCCTGAAACAAGGCGTGTGTAGCCGAGACCTC